CCCCAAAACCCCAAAACCCCAAAACCCCAAAACCCCTTAGATATAAAATTACGTTATGATGAGAGTTTAAGGCGAAATTTATAATATCTAATAAAGATTTGAATAAGATGGGTGATCTATTACATAGTGATAATAAAGGTGTCCCTCTCACATCCTAAAATGATGACGACAGCTTGAATTTTTTCCAGAAAATGTTTAAAGGATCCATTCAATATGAATATGACACTAGGATTGACGAATACAACTGGATTGCAATATTCTTAGTGTAGTTTGTTGCATACTTTGTCGCTCAAGCCCTTGTAAGAAAGTTGGTTCCCCCTCCAGGTGATGTTAAGGTTTTCCTTGAAAAGAAGAGGATGAAGGATTACCATTCTTACTATTTCCAATATACTTCATTCATTCATGCAATGATCGGAATAATCTTAGGTAACACTCCATACTTCTCAGTAACATGTATTAGACCCAATAATTATGTATTCAGCAGGATATAGATACAATTAACCTTGTCATCTTTATCATTATATTCTGATTATTCACTCATTAGCTTACTTTACTTTTGATACTATCATTGAGATTTATTATCAATGCGATGACTTGCTTATCAATGCTCATCATTTTGTGGTCGTTATAGTTACATTTGCTTGCAGTAGAAATTCCTTTGGAGGATTCGAATACGTTAGTAAGTTTACTCATTGGTTTTCAAACTTTAGTGTGCCATTTGCTAGCCGAAGTTTCAAACCCATTCCTTCAGATCAGAACAGCATTGAGAATAGTTAAGAAATCCGATACATGGTACTACAAACTAAATGACAAGATATTCGCAGTTGTCTTCATTCTTGCAAGATTGATTGTTTCCCCTATTTTACTTTTCTACACATTCGAGGGTGACAACACTACTACCTTCCTCAAGCTAGGCTTCGCTTCAGTGACATTTATCTAATTTTTCTGGGGAATGAAAATTCTATACAATATTGGAGTAATGGTAAAAGAGCACTTTGACGAGCTAGAATCTAAAGAGAAAGAATCAAGGCCATTATGGGCAAAGGTATTCCACGATGTTTTCTACGCCATAGACAAAAACAAGCAAGTCAGGTTGATATTTAGTATAGTCAACTTCGCAACATTTGTTTTTATCCCAGTTTCTTACTACGGCTTTGTGAGAGGAAATTTATTCAAAAGTTTCCTCTGAAAGAAATTAATTAGAACTGGACATAAATATTATCTTGATAAAAGCTAATCAAATCTGATATTAATTCCTCAATAATGTCAGTATGAGGGGTTTTGGGGTTTTGGGGTTTTGGGGTTTTGGGG